TGTGTGTGTGTGTGTGTGTGTGTGTCTGTGTGTGTGTGTGTGTGGATACCACGTGTAGATGTCTTTCTGAGGACCAAAATTGGAATGTGACTGTACTTGTGGGGACCAGATGTCCCCACAAGACTGAAGACATTTTGAGGCTCAAAATATGGTTTTAGTGTCAGAGTTACAGTGAGGTGATGGTAAAAAGGAAAAGCATCGTGTTAATTAAATGCCCCCACTAAGATATGAAATCAAGTGTGTGTGTGTGTGTGTGTGTGTATGTGTGTGTGAGCGTGACCTTGCTGTGCAGATGCTGAGCCAGCTGTGTGAGTGTGTGTCGTCTGTCGTGGATCTGTTGGATTCTGTCCTGCAGAGATCTGAGCAGCGCCTCGGTCTCCTCCACCCCTGACCTGCTCTCCACCTTCAGGGCCTTCCACCTGCCCCGAGCCCCGCCTTCTGACACACACACACACACACACACACACACACACACACACACAGAGTAAGTCACTTTCTTTGTGTTCTTTCCAGGTGAGACAGCACCACAGTGTGTGTGTGTGTGCGTGTGTGTGTGTGTGTACCTGGTTGGGGGGGGCAGGACTGTGTCATCAGTTGCTGGGCAGACTCCAGTCCTTCCAGCAGTGACATCATGGAGTCGAGGACAAACAGCTGACGCCACAGAACCTTCTGCATGCGACGGCGGTCCTGAACACACGTGACAGGACGATGTCAGGGAACTGTTTTGATCTGTCAGCTGATCGTAGTAAATACAACATAAACGAGATGATGTCACACAGAAATTAGAGCCAACTTAAAATAAACAATAAAACAACATCATAGAAACATGAGGGTGACACACTGACGGGGCTCAGTGTTCACACCCACTCACAGGAGCACAGGTATACGAAACATATTCCATAAACACTCACAGTGTGTGTTCTGTTAGCACTGTGGACTTTATCAAACACACCGAAACATCTGGATCCTGAGCACGAGGAAGAAGCTCAGCTCACTGAACCACTGGCACGCTCCAGACTGCTGCCTGTGAGTCATGTAACACGGCAGCCATTTTTAATGAGAACTCCGTTATTGACGTTTCTCAGCCTCGTAGCTGGACTTCATGTATTTGTGGTGACTTTCATCAGACGTGAGTCTGTTTCTGCCGTCAGCCTGGAGCTGCTGATCTTCACTGTTTCTGAACAATGACAGTAAACACCTCCTCTACTTTATTCTAACGTTGCAGGGATGGCTGTAGCACGGTGACGTGTCACACACACACAGAGGAAACTTCTCAGTAACTGTGTGAGTATCAGCTGCTCGTGTCTCTGGTATGAAGTCCGCTCTGACAGGCTGGCCTCACTCAGGTGAGAAACTTTAAAACGTGTGACTGAGCCAACTCAGGGCCTGCTCTCCGTTGTTTACGGTTTAACTATTCCCTCAGTGGGGGTCAGAGGTCAGGGTTTTGTGCGTTTTGCGAGGACTCTGATGTGTTGTGAGCTGTAGGCGGACTATTTTCTGCCACAGACCGTAAGGAAGAGCACCATCCGCGCCGCCTGGTCGCAGTCCGGCTCCGGTTCTCCGCGGGGCTCCAGCAGGGCCGGATCACAACGCCGAAGCACGCTGACAACAAACAGACAAACGAACAAACGTCAACACTGAACCCTCGGTGACGCAGACCGTTAGCTTCAGCTGCTAACAGCTAATAAACTTCAGATTTTCAATGTTTTATTTCATCACGCGAGGCAGAAACCCGTCGCGTGACCCACGGTTCACGTGTGAAAAGGTTTCTGGAGTGGAAACAAACATTTATTGATGAGATTGATCAGAACAGATTAAATATTTTCAGACTTACGCTCGCACCGCCGCCATCTCTGTTTTCAAATATCCGCGCTCCCACCCGGGAGCTGATTGGCTCTCTGACAGTGACGCTGCAGGCAGTTAAGCCAATCATCGTGTTGAACACAGCGACACTCAGCGGTGAACGCTGAAAAGCACCCATGAAATAAAAAGGTTTAAACATTAAAAACGTTTATTAAGAAACAGTATACAGAACATGTTCACAACCAGAACAAAATTAACATATGCCAGCGGCTGTAATACAGAGAATTACATACATTCAAATAATTTGTAATTACTACAAATAGTAATAGTTTTCACAACCTTTTTGTTAAGTGATCCACTAATCAATTTTATGTAACATAAAACATCATTATAGTAATGTTTAAAATTAGGCTTTTTGTTACTGTATTTGCATTTGTGAAAATAAAATTTAGCTAAGATAACTAACAAGTTTATTATAAAGTAAACATCTTCTTTTTTTTCCTTCGAAAGAAACAAAATACTAAACATTAAAAACGTATTTTTTCAGGTTTAACTA